ACTGATTTTGTTTTTCTTAACTAGTTTATGCAAATGATTTTTACGTTTAATTTTTTTGATTAGCCTATAGGAAAACCATGAAGGATACTTACGTTTTATATCACAGTTCTCAGAAACAGCATATTTTGGTGGGTACAGCTTTATCTAGGCAGGAATACATTATATCATAGAAAGCTCTTGAACATTCATCGGCATCTCTGTATTGAAAAACAGGCGTCCAATCACAGAATAACAAGAAGCGATATAGTTTTTGGACCTCGCAGAAACCTTATGAGAACTGGCCCTCAGTGGAATCTCATGAAATTTAGCATATTGATAGTTCTTGACCTATAGATTGAAAGTGTCCATGGGCACAAAGTTCTAAAAATTCACTTTTTTGAGTTACAGTCGTTTAAAGTTGCGTCATATGGGAAATTGTTCAAACCTTATACAGTCTAGTTTTTTCGGTTACTTCTTGAATTTTAGAACGACACATGCATAGTATAATACATTTTAAATTATTCGATTCTAGAAATGGCGACTTTTAAACCATAGACGTCCTAAGAGGGGTTTAATAGTTATTTATGCAACAAGTGTGAACCTTTTTTCACGAATGTGAATTTTGACGCACGAGCCGAAGGCGAGTGCGACAATCACATGAGTGAAAAAAGGTGCTTTACTCACGATTTGCATACAAAATTTTTTCTACTACCAATCAAATATGTGTAAAAAAATAAATTTAGACAAATACTTTACGTAAAGAACTTTGTGCCCATGGACACTCTTAATCTATAGGTAACGAACTATCAATATGCAAAACTTCATGAGATTCCACTGAGGGCCAGTTCTCATAACGTTTCTGCGGGGTCCTTTGCCTTCGGAAAATCATATAGGTGCGTTCTTTTGTGACCTTTCTGTGTGTTGTGCTTTTTTAAAAACAACGAAAAAGTAATAAGAGATGGATGGTACAACTCCTCAGTCTCCTCACCCACTAATGGGTAGCCCGATTTTTAAATGTTGGAAACCAATATGTTTGAGGAAATCAAATCCAAAATTCTTGTTGCGGAAATAACCCACAACAGGTTTAATTTTTATTATTTTCAATTTAATATATCTCAATTTCTATTATTTACCATAAAAATAATAATCTAAAAATAGATGCTATTGCTGGACTATTTATCCTGTAAAACCGGCAACAACAACTCTTTGAACCGGTAGAATTGCAGGTTTCTTCATTACCTTATAAGGTAGTGAACCTGTCTCACCGCTATGATTGTTCAGCCGCCACACAAAATCCCTAGTTTTGCGACCTGCTCCCCTGACAGAGTCTAGTCGATGTACATTCTTGAGTACTATTAAAATAAGCGAAGAGTTCGCACCCTCGCGCCCTCTGAATGCTCTCCAGAGGCAAAACCCCTCAAAACCTCCGTTAGTACGAGCGATTTATAGTAAAATATAGTCCTTCTAATACTTATTTACAATTACCAGTCACTTTAGTGACTTAACGTATGTCGCTTCTTGAACACACAAATAAAATTAGGTTAGGAATTTTCTATATTTACATGAAATTGACGTATCAGCAATCGACGTTTGTTTTTGTTGGTAATTTTTTGTTTCATCTGATTCGTGATTGATAAATAAGGATGAGGTGATTCTAAATGGGTATTAAAAATACTATACTACTCTTTGTGTCTCAAGGCCTGACATGATCTATATTATTGATTACAATTCATGTAATTCACCCCTAATTGTTGCAAGTCATCTCGGACGAGCAAAATTCTCTCCTACCGATTGTCTTTTGGCTCTCTTTCACTCTCGACGGGCTCCAACGCGTCTGTATATCGTTGTGTTTTCTTTCCATCTCAGTGGAAAATTCCCTAGCTGCCAGTGTGAATAGTGGTGATAAATGGATAAATAATCGCCTTGTGGATTTATCTGCATGAACCAGATTAAGCATTAAGACCGTTACAATTTCTCTAACAGTCGAACAATAAATACAGATTAGTGATTCGCTTGAAATGCACTATAAATTGAAGTGTTTTCTAACAATTTGGTTTGCACACTCGTGAAATTAAAATTTGTACATTTGTATATAGAAACTGAGCATATATAAAGACTTTTCTTGCACATATTGTTTACAGACTTCCGCAGAAAAGTGCTCAAATTGTTAACTCTCAATAAATAAAAGAACTTTCAAGGATCAATAAACATTTTATGATTACAGTGAACTGATTGAATATTACCTTGCATTTTTTGGGACTTACACCTCAATTGAAGAAACACCTTATCACTAACATTTGGGATTTTTGGGAAATGATACAAACACCCAATTAAAAGACTTTTACTACAGATATCAGTTTTCACACTCAATACCCAGTAGTTTTTCTCCAAAAGAGACTCTTTCGACTTTAATATTTCCTTTAGACACTTCTTTACATAGACTTGTATATCTCCAGTATACACTTACACTAATCACTTTGAGACAGTTATACCCATCAATACTCAGAATATCGCTGAAGTGTAGCTATGTATTGATAGGATTTTTATTTTAATTTTTTCATTGCTATTGGTTTCATCCTCTCATCCTACCGACTGCGCCAGTTACGTGCTTAAACTCGACCCTTTTTTTAGACAATTTTGGTTTTCTTCAATAATTCTTCATACTTTCTTAAATTTTTCCAAAGTTTTTTTCAGACTCGCCTTCTTTTTGATTATAACTGGATTTGCATAAGCTTTCCGAAAACTTTGCTTACTTCCTCCGTTCCTTCTTTAGATAAAGGTAAAAAATTCCCTCTACAAATTATAATATACAATTATATCGGTCTATAACATTCTACGTTTTCTAAATCCCGTTCTCCATCATCTCCGTTAATGCATGCATTCGCATAGTGGTTCAGCTATGGTTGCTGGATGATTTTTAGAAAAAGGGGCTGCAAAAACTGGAAATAAATGGGAAGAAATTGAACAAGCACACCTCTATGTTTCACCTGGAGAATGTTACCAAAGTGGAGAGGTTATCAAAAAACTAAAGAAAAAGGGAGTGTTGAAACACAAGTATCATCAGCCCAAGAAGATTTAATCGGAAAAAAATCGAAAATACATAAAATCCTTGGCAGAAATATTTCTTATTTTAGACAAGGTAGCGTTTAAAGGCCACACATGATGAAAACGAAAAATCATTGAACCGAAGAAATTTTGAAGAGATGTGTGAGCTTCTAGCCAAACATGATAAAGAGTTTTCCACCGAATTAATCACACAAGTTGGCAGGTACAAAACGAAGTATGTACTAGAAATATTTGCACTTGAAACTTTGAGCTTGCAATTATGGTTGACGAGGCAAGAGTTGGTCAAAAAGAACAATTGGCCTAACGTGTAAGGTATACCTATCCATTAAACCTAAAAACAGAAAAAAAATCTCAAATTTGTAGATGGTTCTGGTAAAACAACAGCTTCAGATTTATATTCAATAATTAAAATAGAACTTAAACTCAAGCTGTCGGACCTTGATCTAGTGGGCCAATCCTATGATGTTGCAGCTGTAATGTCTGGCCAAATCGAAAGCTTAAAAGCTAAAATAAGAAAAGCTTTTTCAAATGATGACATTGCATGGCACATAGAGTAAATCTGGCTATAATGGGTTCCTGCAAAAATGTGAGGTCAATATAACACATTAAAAGCACTATATGAGCATTTTTCAAAGCCTCAACACCATGTTGAATATAGAGACATTATTCATAATTTAGTAATCAAGCCTAAGGAATAGTGTCAACTCTCCGATACCAGATGGGTATCACGATTCAAAAGTCATGCCGCAGTGAAAAACTGCTATCTTGCTGTTATCAATCTATTTCAACAAGAAATCGATGAAAGGCGAAACGAACAAGTTATTACAGCGATTGGTATATTATCGTCGATGAGACAACCAACTTCTATTGTCCATTTAATTATTTTAGAAGAACTCCTTAGCACACTTAATATTTTGTCTGAAGCACTACAATCAAAAAACGCCACTTTGAGCAATGCTGCCAAGGTGGTGGAAGGAGTAACATCGATTTTGGATTCCATGAGAGCAGACCCAACTTATGAAGATATTCATAAAAAAATCGTTGATTTTGCAAATGATGTGTATATAGGCTTAGACCCTCCAACGTCCAAAAGAAAGGAGCAAATTTCTTCGAAAGGACCCCATTTTTAGGAAGCCTATAAAAAAATCTAGAATAATAAAAAACGTTAGTTCACCAAGATATTCAACTACGTTTGGAATATCCCCATCTACCATGGTTTCCAATGCTCCTATTGTAGAATCTGTTAAATAATGTTTATGCACACTTCTTATGAGATTTCTGATCGTGGTCAAATTTAACCAAATTTTAGTAGGTATGTTATAGATCTGACCTTTCTATTTCTATTCTAAGTTTTAAATCGCATTGTTCAATGTTCAATGCTCCCTCTATGAACAAGAACGCGGCGAGTGCAATGTTCTTACGTTCCAGAGAGCCGTCTCCGTCTATGCTAGCTACCAAGTTGCATAGAGCCAGCTCTATGGACTTTCCTGTCTGATAGACATATTGATAAGTATACTAATAAGGGGATTCGTCTCAAGCGCCTCTCCGTTAATCCGCACTCATCCAGCATCCAGCAGTTTCTTTAAAAAATATGTAATATTTATTGGTCTGAATGATTGGGGTGTGGATCCCAGCAGACTTCCTGGGAAGTGATTCTGGATCGTGTGTAGGATCTATTCCGGCGTTTTATCGACCTTAGCTCTTACACAACATCTATTTATTATGGACTAGGAACTGTTATTGTACTATCCTACTGACTGCGCCAATAAGGTCGCCGTAAATAGTTCATTTTTAAAATAAAAAGTACAAGCTTCTATTTAGGCGAAAAATACAATATTTCAATTTTGAACAAGCAAAATTATAGTTTATTTTGTCTTGAGCTGATTCTCCTGGTGGAGTGATGAAAAAGAGAATTATTAAGAATTAAACTTAACTTGAATCTATTGCTTTTTTAGGTGTTTTGAGACCTCAAGACTGTAAACAGTGGAGCTGCGACGTGTGCGCAAAAATGTTCACCACGAAATACTTCTTGAAAAAACACAAAAGACTGCACACAGGCGAAATGCCCTATTCCTGCACGATATGCCAGAAATCGTTCACTTTTCAACAATCCTACCACAAGCACATGCTCTATCACTCATCAGAAAAGCCTTACGTTTGCAACGAGTGCGGCAGAGCATTCAAAGAGCATTCCACTTTACAGAATCACGCCCGAATACATTCGGGAGAAAGACCTTTTGGATGCGAAATATGTGGTAGGAATCCATCAAATTAAAATGAATTATTTATTATACTATACTTTACAGGAAAACGTTTCCGTCAAAGAGTCTCCTACTTAGTCCACATGCGAATCCACACTGGAGTGATGCCCTACAAATGTACCGAATGCAATAAAAGTTTCCGATATAAAGTGAGCCAAAGATCACACAAATGTCCTCCTGGATCAGTCGTAAAAGTAAACGAAGATCCACCTAATCCAGCACCAAAATGTATCATGTCGGTTGATTACGATACTGGCAATATCAATCTTATACCTGGAAATCAAGAATTAATAATATTACAAAATAATGGTAAAATATATATATGAGTATTTTTTAAGCATTTCTTTTACGAAACAATTTTTTTTAGATAATAATAATGCTGTAGATATTTACAATGTTGCTCATTTGTCTCCAATATTGCCCGAAGTAGAGTCGTTGTGCCTCAATAATAATTCACCGGCATCGCCCAGCGAAGAGAATATTCAGATTATAAGGGAAAAATGTTTGGAAGAGTTGTTTAAATAAAGTATTTTTGGATATTGATTTTGTTTAACGTTTGCAGGAGAGTTTTAAAACAGTTTCAACTTACAATAAAACAAATACTCTCATATATTTTTCATCCATTTTTTGTGTCTTAAACAGAGAAATTTTTTATCTCTTCTTCTTCTTACATTTTTCCAGAATCTTTTTTTCCTTAACATCTTCCTAATCAAAACCTGTTCCCTCAACTAGAGTTTTTGAAGTTATAAAATGAGTAATAATAATGAAATATTAGTTCTGAAGACGTTATGTTTTGTAACATACGACGTCTTTGAGATGCTTTGAAGACGTACCTAATGTCTAAAAGTCGTCTCTGCTTGCTTGAATGTCGTTTGTGAACATCTTAGAAACGTCTTTAAAATGTTTCTATGTTGTCTGAGTTGTTGGTATTTATGTATTTTTGCAAAAAAAAACTAATACAATACCAATTTATTAAACTTTTTCAGCGATTTACTTTACACACTAGTGCGTAAAGTATAATTTTACGTCTTTTAAACAGTGCGCAAAGTAAGTAATAGGTATTTTGTACTTTATGCACGCACGGTAGTAGAAAATAAGTATGTATTCATTCAACGTTAACTCGGTTTTATTGACGACACAAGATACGTTTCCATGGCACACTTATTCAACCCCATTTTATAAAATTCAAATGGATAGTAGGTAACCAAGGGTAACTTTGTCAAATAAAGCTATTAACCAAACAAATTTTTCATTTAATTTACCTACTTTTTAAATGTAAAACCTAAACGATGCCGTACTTTGAAGAAATAATAAAAAAACTGGGCTGGGACGATGGTTTCCAAATCCCTGTTGCAAACGCCGAAAATCAGGAACTGGAACAAGAACTTATCGCTTTAACTTTACGAAAAATCAAAGCGAAAAACGATTTAGAAAACTCTGTGACTCGCCAGAACAATATACAGGACCATTTCAAGTATATAAAACAGGAACATGAACACAATCAGGTACCTATACATAATAGTTGTTTCAGCTTTATTTTTTTAAACAAATTTTTACCCTACAGAAATTATTTACTGCTCACAAACAACAAAATGACGACGAAGTCAACCATTACCACATCCTCAAAGCAGAATTGACCAAAACCGAACGTTGTACAACAGAAGTGTCCAAACGTATCGCCTTTTTAGGAGAACGCAAAGAAATCTTGAGAAACGAACTGCAAAAGGCTGTCATCAAAGTTGACAGAATCAAACAGGAAACTGGTTGGGACATTGAAGCGCTGAAAGGCTGGGAAGAAGCGTTGAAAAAGCGCGACAATGATAATGAGCTTTTTAAAAAGGTTTCCAAAGAAGATGAAAGGAGGTTTAATGAGTTGGAGGCTAAAAGGCAGCTTTTGCAAGCGGAATACGACTGGAAACATCAGGCTATTGGGAAAATTGTGTGCGAATTGAAAAGTTGTGAAATGATTATAGAGAGAACAGGTAATTGGTGTGTTTTTTTAGAACTTTCTTGTTGAAAAACTCCTTAAACAAGTTCCAACTTCCAAATTGAGATTTTTTTGTAATTTCACTGTTTGTTGCCCAATCGCCTCGAATTTTTGGCATGTTTCGCCTCAAACTTAATAAAATAGATTCATGAGCACAACTATAGGGGTGCTGCAGCACCATTTTTTTTTTCTTTTTTTTTTTTTGATGATGAGGTTTCATGAAAAGGAAATGAAAAGCGTAAAAAATAGTTAGTTTCACGAGGGTTTGTACTTACGTCATCATTTGCCTTTTTTTTGAAAAATAGGTTTTTTTATGTCTGAAATTTCAAACAAACACATAGTTCGTTGCATGGCACGAAGGTTTTACTGGTTTTACTTACGTCATCGATGACGTTATAACAAAATAAAAAACAAATCATAGATTAATTCATAGAGCACCTTCGGAATTATTGTTTTGTAATACATTTTCCAACTTAGAATAGGAGGTTATCCAGTTATCCGAAAATATATAAATAAATTTCTCCTGGAGTGATTTTTAACTGGAAAATTTTGAAATTTTCCTTTAATGAGCTCCTCATTTTCCTCTTTCTCCTGTAAAAATTTCAAAATTTTCTTGTTGCCAGTTTTCCAGGAAAAGATTAAAATGTAAGAGGCTGAATTTTCCTTAATTTTGCCTAAATAAGTCAATTTTCTTTGAATAATTTTTCCTGGAGTGATTTTTCACTGGAAAATTTCGAAATTTCCCTATAATGAGCTCCTCACTTTTCTCTTTTTCCTGGAAAATATTCAAAATTTTTCCTTTGCCAGTTTTCCAAAAAAAAATTTAAATGTGAAAGGGTAAATTTTTCCTTAATTTTGCTTAAATAACTCAATTTTCCAGAATTTTTTCTAGGGTCATTTTTCACTAAAAAATTTTGAAATTTTCTTATAATGAGCTCCTCACTTTCCTTTTTCTTTTGGAAAAATTTCACAATTTTTGCTTTGCCAGTTTACCAGAAAAAAATTAAAATGTGAAAGGAGGAATTTTGCTTAAAAAAGTCAATTTTCTAGAACTTACCTCTTGACTTTGTTTGGAGTGATTTTTCACAAGAAAATTTTGAAATTTTCCTATAATGAGCTCCTCATTTTCTTCTTTCTCCTGGAAAAATTTAACAAGTTTTGCTTTATTAGTTTTCCAGAAATAAATTAAAATGTGAGAGGATGAGTTTTTCTTAATTTTACTTGAAAAAGTCATTTATTCAGAATATTTCCTGGAGCAATTTTCTATTGGAAAATTTCGAAATTTTCTTATAATGAGGTCCTAACTTTTCTTTTTTTCCTCTTTTGCTAGTTTTCCAGAAAAAAATGAAATATAAGAGGATGAATTTTCTTTAATTTTACTTGAAAAACTCAATTTTCCATAATTTTCCCTGGTGTGATTTTTCACTGGAAAATTTCAAAATTTCCCTATAATGAGCTTCTCACTTTTCTCTTTCTTCTAGAGAAATTTCACAATTTTCCCTTTGCCAGATTTCTAGAAAAAAATTAAAATGTAAGAGGGCTAATTCTCCTTAATTTAGTTTTTCAAAATTTTTCCTGGAGGGATTTTTCACTGGAAAATTTTTAAATTTTCGTAAAATGAGCTCCTCATTTTCCTCTTATTCCTGGAAAATTTTCAATTTTTTTTTTTCCAGTTTTCCAGAAAAAAATTGAAATATAAGAGGATGAATTTTCTTTAATTTTACTTGAAAAACTCAATTTTCCATAATTTTCCCTGGTGTGATTTTTCACTAGAAAATTTTGAAATTTACCTATAATGAGCTCCTCACTTTTCTCTTTCTTCTGGAAAAATTTCACAATTTTCCCATTACCAGAATTCTAGAAAAAAATTGAAATGTAAGAGGGTGGATTCTCCTTAATTTTAGTTAAAAAAGTTATTTTTTCAAAATTTTTCCTAGACTGATTTTTTACTGGAAAATTTTGAAATTTTACTAAAATGAGCTTCTTATTTTCCTCTTATTCCTGGAAAATTTTCCAAATTTTCCCTTTGCAAGTTTTCCAGAAAAAAATTAAAATGTAAGAGGGTGAATTTTCCTTAATTTTACTTGAAAAAGTCAATTTTTAGAATTTTTCCTGAAGTGATTTTTCACTGGAAAATCTTGAAATTTTCCTATAATGAGCTCCTCACTTTCCTTTTTTTTTTTGGAAAAAATTTCATAATTTTTGCTTTGCCAATTTTCCAGAAAAAAATTGAAAAGTGAAAGTATGAATTTTGCTTAAAAAAGTCAATTTTCCAGATATTTCCTCTCGACTTTCCTTGGAGGGATTTTTCATTAGAAAATTTTGGAACTTTCCTATAATGAGCTCCTCATTTTCTTCTTTCTCCTGGAAAAATTTCACAAGTTTTGCTTTATTAGTTTTCCAGAAATAAATTGAAATGTGAGAGGATGAATTTTCCTTAGTTTTACTTGAAAAAGTCAATTTTCCAGAATTTTCCCTGGAGTGATTTTTCACTGGAAAATTTTGAAATTTCCCTATAATGAGTTCCCCACTTTCTTCTTTTCCTTGGAAAATTTTCAAAATTTTCCCTCCGCCAGTTTTCTAGAAAAAAATTAAAATGTAAGAGGATGAATTTTCCTTAATTTTGCTTAAATAAGTCAATTTTCCAGAATTTTTTATGGAATGATTTTTCATTAGAAAATTTTAAAATTTAGCTATAATCAGTTCTTTACTTTCCTCTTTTTTCTGGAAAATTTTCACAATTTTCCTTTTGCCAGTTTCCCAGAAAAAAATTAAAATGTAAGAGGTAAATTTTGCCTAAAAAAGTCAATTTCCCAGAATTTTTCCTGGAGTAATTTTCAACTAGAAAATTTCAAAATTTTCCTATAATGAGCTCCTCACTTTATTCTTTCTTCTAGAAAAATTTCACAATTTTCCCTTTGCCAGATTTCTAGAAAAAAATTAAAATGTAAGAGGTGAATTTTCCTTAATTTTACTTGAAAAAGTCAATTTTTCAGAATTTTTCTTGGAGTGATTTTTCACTGGAAAATTTTGAAATTTTCTTATAATGAGCTCCTCACTTTCCTTTTTCTTTTGGAAAAATTTCATAACTTTTGCTTTGCCAGTTTTCCAGAAAAAAATTGAAATGTGAAAAGATGAATGTTGCTTGAACAAGTCAATTTTCCAGAACTTTCTTCTCGACTTTCCTTGGAGTGATTTTTCACTAGAAAATTTTTCCTCATTTTCTTCTTTCTCCTGGAAAAATTTCACAAATTTTGCTTTATTAGTTTTTCAAAAATAAATTGAAATGTAAGAGGATGAATTTTCCTTAGTTTTACTTGAAAAAGTCAATTTTCCAGAATTTTTCCTGGAGTGATTTTTCACTGGAAAATTTCAAAATTTCTCTATAATGAGCTCCTCACTTTCCTCTTTTTCTTGGAACATTTTCAAAATTTCCCCTCTGCCAGTTTTCTAGAGAAAAATAAAAATGTAAGAGGGAAATTTTCCTTAATTTTGCTAAATAAGTCAATTTTCCAGAATTTTTTATGGAGTGATTTTTCATTCGAAAATTTCAAAATTTTGCTATAATGAGCTCTTTATTTTCGTTTTTTTTCTGGAAAATTTTCACAATTTTCCTTTTGCCAGTTTCCCAGAAAAAAATTAAAATGTAAGAGGGTGAATTTTGCCTAGAAAAGTCAATCTCCCAGAATTTTTCCTGGAGTGATTTTTCACTGGAAAATTTTGAAATTTTCTTGTAATGAGCTCCTCACTTTCCTTTTTCTTTTGGAAAAATTTCACAATTTTTGCTTTGTCAGTTTTCTAGCAAAAAATTGAAATGTGGAAGGATAAATTTTGCTTAAAAAAGTCAATTTTCCAGAACTTTCCTGTCGACTTTCCTTGGAGTGATTTTTCACTAGAAAATTTTGGATTTTTTTTATAATGAGCTCCTCATTTTCTTCTTTCTCCAGGAAAAATTTCAGAAATTTTGCTTAATTAGTTTTCCAGAGATAAATTGAAATGTAAGAGGATGAATTTTCCTTAGTTTTACCTGAAAAAGTCAATTTTCCAGAATTTTTCCTGGAGCGATTTTCCATTGGAAAATTTTGAAATTTTCTTATAATGAGCTCCTGACTTTTTTATTTCTTCTTCTTTCAGTTTCCCAGAAAAAAAAACTGAAATATGAGAGGATGAATTTTCCTTAATTTTACTTGAAAAAGTCAATTTTCCAGAATTTTTCCTGGAGTGATTTTCCACTGGAAAATTTTGAAATTTCCCTATAATGAGCTCCTCACTTTCCTCTTTTTCTTGGAAAATTTTTAAAATTTTCCCCCTTGCCAGTTTTTCAGAAAAAAATTAGAATATAAGAGGGTGAATTTCCTTAATTTTGCTAAATAAGTCAATTTTCCAGAATTTTTTATGGAGTGATTTTTCATTCAAAAATTTTAAAATTTTGCTATAATGAGCTCTTTATTTTCTTCTTTTTTCTGAAAAATTTTCACAATTTTCCTTTTGCCAGTTTCCCAGAAAAAAATTAAAATGTAAGAGGGTAAATTTTGCCTAAAAAAGTCAATTCCCAGAGTTTTCTCTGAAGTGATTTTCCACTGGAAAATTTTGAAATTTTCCTATAATGAGCTCTTCAGTTTTCTCTTTCTTCTGGAAAAATTTCACAATTTTCCCTTTGCCAGATTTCTAGAAAAAAATTTAAATGTAAGAGGGTGAATTCTCCTTAATTTTGGTTAAAAAAGTTAGTTTTTCAAAATTTTTCCTGGAGTGATTTTTTACTTTTTGTAAAATGAGCTCCTTATTTTCCTCTTGTTCCTGGAAAATTTTCCAAATTTTCCCTTTGCAAGTTTTCCAGAAAAAAAATAAAATGTAAGAGAGTGAATTTTCCTTAATTTTACTTGAAAAAGTTAATTTTTCAGAATTTTTCCTGAAGTGATTTTTTATTGGAAAATTTTGAAATTTTCCTATAATGAGCTTCTCACTTTCCTCTTTTTCTTGGAAAATTTTCAAAAT